CCAGTCGCGCCCTCAATGGCGCTCGTGCATCCAAGCTATTGCCTTCAGTGCATAGCTCCTTTTCAACCCTCCGCCCCCCACTTGACAGCCCACTGACAGTGCTGGATTTATGCACCAATTTACCAGCTCGCGCGTGCAATGCGCAGCTACCTACCCGCCCCCCAAATCTTCGGTGAACGAAACTGCGGCAGCTACAACCACTGTACGAGTACACGGCTATTGCAGCTGACAATATTGATGATGATGACCTTGATATTGCGCTTCAACTCTTTCTGTCGCGCTACGCTCGTGACACATACCTCTATTCAGATGAGGGAACCGTTCCGCGTGAAGTTTCACAGGGTCGAATCAAGATGCCAAACGCATACTAAGAACAAGGGGTACTTAGAAATCTTATTTAGGTCGAACTGTTTGGACCGTCAGAGAAGACGATGTCGTCCGCCTATTCTTTCTCTGGTTCAGACTTCGATGCCAAGATTCGCTATCCCTCATTCCATAAGGCTGTCAATGACAAATTTGAACCAAAGCAGAGAGAGGAAGAGAGTGAGGATACCCTTCACGAAGCCGGCTAGTTATCGCGAAACTTTGGACAGTTCATTGTAAACCTTTCTAAGAATATGGAGCCCGGAGTATTGCTAGAAACGTCCGAGGATTTCCTTTTTGTCCAAGTACGTGTAAAACGTGACTTACCCATCTACGGGTTTGAAATTTGGGACAATCATAGTCACCGGCCAGTGTGTTACTGCTTAACCATTTGACGTGTTGTGAAAATGCCCGGCGGAATTCGTTTTGATGCCCACTAATGGTGATCATCCAAAACGGTTCTTGAAAACCCCGCTTGTCTGGCGATCCGTTATGCATTGGATTTGAATTGGTATCTTTCGGGCGTACCAACTGATTGTGTCTTGTTTTACCGATTGATTGAGATAAATTCCGTGCTCTCCCGGCTACGCTACCCAGCTCCGTTTGCCGAGCTTTACGATTTCATTTCCAATTCGTAACAAATGCTCCGACAGAGGCGGTGAACAAAAGAGTCACGGAGAGACTGGACCTTACCATGGTGTGACGGTTTGCGCAACATAAGGACCCATTGAGCTATACTGAGGGTGGGTGCCCCCGCGACATTCACACAGTCTCCCATACCAGGTTGGTCAGTGGTTACAGTTCTGATGGACACAGTCTCCTGGCCCTCCAGGTTGGGGGTTGGAACATGGGCGGCGACTTGTTCCGTAGAAATCGTAATTCGTTTGCATTTCCAGCCAAACACCGCTGCCTTGAGGTTGGGCTTTTGAGCCAAAGGCTTTGGTGAGGACCCTATCGTCCTCCCTGTCTAGTGTGGGCACCCTGATGGTATTCCAGCCCACGTACCACCATGATATCTACGTGGAACAGTAAACTCATGCACAGAAGCGAGGCATCGGTGTTGAACACTGATGTGATGTTGTCGACAATGAACGTTTCTAGACCCAGCGATCGATGGCTTTTGGCTTACTTGCTACTACCACGACATTATCTCTGCAGTTCGCAGCGGAGAGAAAAGGTGGCTACTTTCATCTTCGAGGTCTATTTATTCCTGATTTGGAAAAGCGCCAATGGCCTAGGGTTTTGCTTTTTTTCGTAACGTGGTTGTCGATAAAATGGCCATCTTTTCAAACGTGACCGACCAGGCAGGAAATAGTGAGCCGCTCAGTCTCGTTTTTCCCTGTCAATCATGCAGCCTATAAGTTGAGACAAACGCCTTGTTTATTTTCCCTTCTGTAGTTTGTACTCATCGAACAGCACGGGGTAGTTTTGCTCAGACAGTTTTGTGTCTTTCTGAACCGTGGCACGAGTGGAACGTATTTTTGCTACATCGTGTTAGCCCCACCTCCCTTAAAAGTACTTACTTACCACGCACGTTGCAGACAAACTCAGTGTTTTTTACGCTTTCTGTGCCCAGTTCCGAGGCAATACGACCACCCGGATCGGTAGAATACAGCAGCATGCTTTAATCAACCAAAGAGCGCCTGTCGTATGATGCCCCCTCCGTTTCGCATTCACAAACAAGTTATGTTCGGCAGAAAACGTTTTGGTCAATCTTGTGCTGGTCTACAACACTACGTCTTCTCGGTGACATACTGCAATTCGGTACATGACTGTGCTCCTTTGGTATTTGCAACCCTTGGTTGCGTCCGCTGTTGGTCGGGCTTTCATTCTTTGCATCTAGTATGCCCCAGGGAAGTCCTAACAAGCGGGCGATCAATCAACCTAACCAGGACAATTACTGGCTCGTCATAGTGTGAACCAGTCACGTCGCTCAAGCATGAACACGTTTGTCTGTTCAGGCGTGACAGTTCATTTGCGCCTAGCGTCCGCTGGTAACACGCCGGCCTGGCCTGTGTGATGTCCGGATTTCAACCCCCCGGTACGATCATGCTCCAATAGGACGGAAATCCGAGTGTGTAATGTTTCCTTTTTCAGTGTGGTGCTGCCTGACTTGGAAGTCCTCACAGGCGGATCAGTCGACTGACAACTGTCGGAGGCGTCGCGCAAACCCAGCACATCGCTCCAGCTTGAACAAATCGCCTGTTGAGACGTGATAATTCAAGTGTGTCCAGTATGTGCCGATTGATTAGTGGTCACGCAGTTGCCTCGCGAGTCAGATATCCGGAGTCCGAACTCCGGCACGTCTCAGGCTTGAGGAAGAGGGGAGCTTGGGTACAGTGCTCTCCCCGTTTGTTGTGGACTTACCAGGATAAGTGCATCCGGAACTCAGGAAGACTGTTCGAACGGAAGTGGTGTGAATGTGGATATCTGTGAATTGTTTCACGTTTCGGTCTCCCTGGGGTGAATGCGGATTGGAAATTAGTTGTACCAACAGCCAGCGAAATTGTTTCCTAATCGGCAAATTAGTGGGCAATCGAACAGCTTTTTTGTGATCGCTTTTTGGATTCTGAAACTTCGAAGCTCGGATTTCGAAAACACAGTTCGACCTTCAAGTAAGAACCGATACACCTGTTTGTTTGTTATACAATCGCATATTGTATTCCACAATTTAGAGGAATGAGCCTGTAGGTTTTCATCATGGAACTCAGTGGGCACGTTCATTGTTTCACAAAATATTCCGAAGACGACTACAACCCTGCACTGCTGTTTACATTAGCATAAAAGAAGCTTGCTTAGATATATGAAGCTCAAATGGTTAGAGCGCGAATTCACTGACCGGAAAGTCCGTGGTTCCAACACGAGCTCTGCCTCTCGATTTCCCCTGCCTAGGCTTGGGCAACCTGGCAGTATCTCAGCCCTCGTGCTCCCTTCGGGTGGCATTGCAGCTAGGCACCGGAAGGGTGTTGCAGCTGTACGATTTCATATGAAGCAACAGTGACATGAAGATGACATTAAATACCTATTATGTTGCTCTCACGTTCACCTCACTCTCGTTTAAGTAGCCCCAATGTCCTGGCGGTGTTGTTCTGTTGAGTTCTTATCAAACAGCGGGTGAGTGAGCTCGAATCTCGCTCCGAATAGCGCTCATCGGCAGTGCATATTTCTGACCTTGCCGGGGTTCGAACTCCGGACAACTGACGTGAATTGGGCGTGTTACCACTACTCCACCAGTGTACGCTGTTCGGACAGACGGTGTTGTTCATGCATGAGCGACCTGACTGGTTTGCCTCAAACGATGACCCAGGAGCTGTTCCGGTTGTGTCGATCGATTGCCCTACCTAACAGGGCTTCCTAGTCAGGAAGCGCAACGGGCGACTGGAACCTGCCGGGCAATCTTCGATTAGTTGCGAGATTTGTAGAACAGTCCTCCCCTACCAGAATAATTACGCCAGGACAGGAGGGGAACTGTGAACTTGAAGTATGTGAATCCCGCAGCCATCTGCAACCATGTCCTTTTTTCACTTGTCGTGACAAAGAACACGTACTAAATTACGGTCCGATGTAAATGAGTTCGTCATCCACTCGAATTAAATCAGTGGAATGCCTAGTTCAAGGTATCAGCAGCCTACTGGGTCTCTGTGCGCTTCCTAATAACTATCGAGTTTTACGTATTCGATCTGTTATGATCTTCTATGGTATACGGAAGATTACTTGCCAAGTAAAGTTAATCCAAGTTCAGGTTTATTGAGGAACTCGGTGTCTGTCTCGGTTAACCCTATCCGATGGAATTGCTAGACAGATACACCGGTGAAGAGGGGCTTGCGCTGCGCACTCGTCACCGCCAATGGAAGGTTGACTGGAGATAAGTTTTCATTTTCTTTGAGAACTGCGGGAAGTAGATGACGAACCATCGTATGTGTTGCGATTTCTGTTCAGGTAACCTTGCTGGATTGTCATCAGGCACGTGCAAACCAACAAGTGTTCTGTTGGGCCGTGAACTTCGATTGTTATAGTGTGTGTTAACCTGTGTACCGTCAAACAGGAGACTTCGTTTTTTTCTTCAAAGGCAACATACCGAAGAAGGCTCCCCTAAGGACCAATTATCCGCCAGTTTGTCAGTAGTATGTTTCCTTTGCAAGAGTGGCACAGCTGTAGTGGGTACTTCCTTAGGTCGCGGTCCAAGATGGTGCGACTGCCCTCAAGTTTTCTCTTATACCGATGACCACCGTGTACTTCGGCAGAGTCATTGTAGGTCGAATGATGACCGATCTGCCCTAGTCACTCGGTATATTGATCGCTTCTCCGTCCTCCTTTCGAATGCGAGCACTCATCGCGCCGCCACCGTGTGCTCCCTCATTCAACTTGTTCCCTGTGGTTGTCGTCTCTGTGGAGATGAGACCTCCTCGTAGATGCTGCATACTCCGGCTCCAGGTCAAAGTTTGCATGATTTTTAGTCCACTTTTGCCGTCAATAGCAAGCCCCAATAGGTTGTCAGTTTGTTACGTTTTCAGCTGGCGCGGATAATGGTGTCAACTCGTCTTGGAATTTCGTATTTCATCCTCAGAGTTGCAAAGGAACGTCCGGACCTCTTTCGGTCCTAAGCGCATTGAAGTAGCATTCTCACGTATCTGGACAGTTCGTCCCGGTAGTGCGCTAACGGCGGTGACTGTTCGCGCCGGTGGGCACCGCGGATTCGTAGTACACTTCTGACACCAGACGGAGAGAATGGAATTAATTCTGGATTCCATGAACCCTGTGCTTCATTCCCCTGATGGACTTGGATACCAACAGAACAGACACGCCAGCCGGATAGCAAATGAGATTTCATAACAATCGGAAGTCACCTGTCGGTTTTTGCTTCGGAATTTCTCGGAACCTTGCGATTGTCCCGATATTGATTAATACCTTGTTGCCATGACATTCATCGATGCCAGCCACTGTTATTCATGCGGTAGTCTTACCAGGAAATGCAACTGCCCCAGTTTTTGTAAGGTTGTCACTGTGCTGTGAATCGACGTGAATGAATGAGTTACACGCTTTGAGGTTCTGTCATTGAATGCATCGATCTTAGGCCTACTTACTAATTAAACCCGATAGGGGACAGATGCAGAGGCTCGATAACACTGATTTGTTTGCAACCGGTAGCCCCGTTCACCTTCGTTCCTCACCTTCTATCGCTTACGTAAGAATTTCCCCATGATTTTGCGGACTTGTTCTCGTGACGCACGATAGCTACTCAAACTGCTCAGTAGTTTTGATGATGGAACGGTTTTTTCCCGTTATTTTTCTGTTTTTATTGGGGAACATGGGGCATGATCGCTCCCTTATCGAAAGACCTCATTCGGTTGCTCTCTTTAGCTGGTGCATTCATCTCAGGGTAGATCACATATGGAAAGTCTTCTTCGTATAAGGCAACTGCACCGATAGTTCGTCGATATCCCTAATTTTCACTTCCGGTTTTCACCGATGAAATCGTCCATGAAGCATGGACTGTTTTAGGTGAAAAGCTGGTCCTCGTATAGCCAAACTGCGCTTACCATTTGCAAGACAATTAGAAACCTGTACGTCACATCTTCAACGTTGGTTTTGTTACAGCATGCCGTCATTGAGTCACCCTCCCCCCGGAGAATTACCGGACAAATCGCAGAAGCTTGACGAGGAACCGTCACTTAGGCCGATCTGTTGTGCGCACACACACGCTGTTAATTGACGTAACAGAAGTTGAAAACCACTTTCAAGCGCAGCATATTTCTACATCCGCTCACAGTTGGTTGCATTTTACCCCGGGAATTGTTACTCGACCTACTCTATTTTGTCGCTATTTCATACTTTGTCTTTCAGTTTGTTACTGGGGCATCGGGATTTTTTCCACTCTCATCCTTGTTTGGTCTTGCGTCGTCTAATTTGCCTAGAAACCGATTGCTCCCACTTTGTGGCTGGCATACTATGGGTGGCGGACTTTCATTTGTACTTTGCTAAGCGCACTATTTTTTTTTCGTACCGTTAGACACAACCTTTTTGTGATTTGGTTATTGTCGTCTTGGCCCGGTGGCTCAGTGGTTAGAGAGCGAATCTACTGACCGCAGAGTCCGCGGTTCGAACCCGACCTCTGCATATCGACTAAGTTCGGGCAACCTGACAATATCCAATCCTTCGTAATTCCTTCGGGTGGCATGGTAGCCAGGCACTGAATGATTCTCTCGTTATTTTTCTTTATATTTTTGTCATGTTACCTTTTTTGAACTCGTTGTTGCACTAGAGATTTCGTTTTTGGAGTTTTTGTGTGTCTTTGTTGAAGACCAAAACGGTTTATCGGTGAGAATGCTGGTTCCGTTTCATGCACACGTCGTCTTATCCTCCAGTTTCCTTCGATTCAGACACGTTTGACGCCTGCAGTCAGATTGTGCTATTCCAAATACGCACAAAATGTTTACAAGGTAGAATTGAAAGCTTACTTCCAGGCTTTTGTAGCCACCTCGCACTCCCGTCGGCTTTCCATCCATGTGATACACGGCGGCGTTTCAATCTGCTTGCTCACCACAGGCTTCACAACAGTTATTCGCCACAAATGTTGGACTGGTTAGTTGAATTCTTTGGTTTGGACAAACAACAGTTCCTATGCTTTTCCGTAAGACGACTCAGGATAATGTATTCAACCACCAACACAAACGACAGTGAAGCATTAGTGCCAACACTGATGTTGCTGTCTTTGATGATGATGATGATGATGATGGGTTTTTGTGGGGTCTCGAGTGCTCCGACAATTTAGCTTGAGGTCAAGTGGAATCCAGATGATGACCACTCTTCCTTCTGATGACCGCACATCAAAACGTGTCAGCTGGACTGATCCAGAACCGTTCTCCACACGTTTGCCAGTTCTACACCTATTCTGTTAACACTCGGATGCTTGGCGATTTCCGCCGCCTCGGCAATCGCCGAGTCTTTCAGTAACTCTTGATATTCATCCGAGTTTCTCGGCGGCCTGTTTATTTTTCTACTATGCTCTCCAATTCTGACGTGTAGTTCCCTTGCCGTCTGTCCTACACAGACCTTGGTGCAGTCATTGTACTTAATTTTGTAAATTCATTCCCTGTTTCTTTTTGCCGGGAGGTGATCCTTCAATTGCACCAGTGCAGAGCGCAGAGTGTTCCCCCTCCGGAAAGCTACTTGCATGTTGGCCGTGTTTAGAATTCTTCGAATTACCTCCGATAGCCCTGGTTTATATGGAATAACAGCTGTCCCGATCCATTCCCTGAGTTGTGTTTGCTAGACCAGTCGGTTCTAGCCACTCTCTCCTCCGAAATGCGGGACTAGTCTAATCCCCATTAGGTTTGTCACACTGCCGTGACGTGTTTCTCCAACACTGACAAATTCCTCAGTACAGTGGTTCTAAACGTGAGAGAGTTGGGGAATTACACAGGGTTCATGGTTCCACGGGCCATTGCGGCTAGGTTTCACATTAATGTTAGCTTCCGCATTAGTGTGACCGTAGACAGTCGATTTTCTTCATATTCGTATGATTCCCTTGAAGAATTCGATTCTAAAAGACCAAAATGCGGGGTTTGGTCCTTAAAACCTAGTTTTGTGTGTGTGTGTGTGTGTGTGTGTGTGT